ATCAAGATGTCCCTGTTTTGGGTTAAGGGTGTATAGTACATGTTATCACCCTGGTTGAAATAAATACGTTTATCATCTAATGGGTAGGTTTCTCGGCAGGATAAGGCCAACGGATAAAAAACCCGATATCCGTTTGGGTCATATGCGGAAAAAGATGCAAATAACAAAGTTCAAGTAGGGACTACTTTCAGTGTCTAAAAACAAACATGGCGTCGCCCTTGTCATTCGGTGAGCGAGTCAGAATTAACCATCGGGAAAAACTACTGGGATAATTGCTATAATAACAAAAGAATATACTGAAAATTAGTGTCTAACTGTTACGGTAGCTAAGGCATTTTACCAGTTTGGCAACTTTGGATATATAAATTGCAAAACTATTTAGCGAGGACACTAGCCAAGCGGAACCAGTTTCCATATTTGTACTTGTAGACCTCTGCGGCTTGGAACCTTTTCTCCAAATTAAAACAGATGGATTTGACAGAAATATGTCCGAATTGTTACCTTGTTTCGTTATGTCGTTGTGTGTACAACTGACTGCACATCGGAACGTTATGATAAATATAGACTTAAAACAAACTTGACGTCATTTGATAAAGGGCAGTTACTCTAGCGGACAGACCGATGAATTGCCACGAAAGGCAAGTTGAAACAATTTCTGTTGGTAATTTGTAGTGGATATATGTAGTTACGCCACCGTATAACAAAGAGGTTTCAACTGGAACTGTATTGACTATTGTCACTGTCCAACTGACATATCACTTATGTCCTTACGTCATATATATTAATGCGCACATTCCAGGAAAACTTGCAATGTTTAGGTAATGTTTCTGAGAGATGGAAAGAGATTTTTCGAGCACAGTACTGAAGAGTGGCGTCATATGATGAAGCTTGAGTGTTTGGGGATGGTAAATATCCTGTATTAGGAATAAGCACTATGTTGACTTCCTTTTTATGTCAGTTTCACATTGATAAGGCAAACTTATTTCAGTTGGCCATGTATGGAAATAATATCGCTTCTTGTTTGTTGTACTGTTGACAATGTTTCGTTTTTAAACTGTAAATTTCTCACTTATCTCATCAATCGAGACTGCTCGTTTCGCAAAGCGCTATTTTTGTTACTTGACCTGTGTGAATTCTTTCGTTTCCAACAGCGGTCTCGTAAATTTCAAGAACACTTTTAGTTGAAGTTGATTTTGTATATAATCATATCTCAATATATGTGACCCTAAATAACTTTTGTTACTTTTGTTTATATGTTTTAAGATTTTGCAATCACGGAACTACTTTTTCAGTCGCAAATACAAAGGGTGGTGAAACGTCCCTGTGTGTTAGGTAGGGCGATTTTACGTAAATAATTTTATTTTCCGGTAGACAACGACACAAAAAAATATATAATAAATAGAATATTCCATGTATCTCTTGAAATATCATGAGAGAAATATGATATTAAGACACAAGAAACATCCTCTATATATTATTCTGATAAGAGTAATATAAATGTAGTGATGATTGTATACAAAGCAAAATTTAAGAAGAAATAAGGTTTATCAGAACCGAAATATTGCGTTAAACCGTTATGTATAAGACGTCACCGCCAGGGTATAATCATATTTCATTGGGCGTAAAAGTCAAAATAGTGGTGGAAATTATAAGAATGGATCACTGACATAAAAGTAAATCCCGTTTACAACACAATTTGGCGGTGTCCATTGTAGCAGTTGGTACTGGGAACAGCAAGAACAACAGCACCAGAATGTTGTCTACTTAAGTCGAAAACAGCACTATCACGCCTTGGAACAATCATGAGCCAAGATTATGAGAACGTGAACCTTTGACCTCCTAATTGCCGTCGCTACCACCACATTAATCAATTTTAATTGTCAGAAAAAACATTTTCGAGATTTCACCTTACATCAGATAAGCTCGCACTAGTCTAAATAATGTTGCAGGGGGAAACAAGAAATATGAACGGTATTTTGGAAAGATGTTATATATTTATACTTAGGATTCCAGTATCATGTGTATATAAGAGTTTTTGCTAGGGCCGTAGTTGAAATAAAGTGAAAAAGGGAAGTTTCAACTTTCTCCTATTACGCTGCCAAACGTTTTCATAACATTTTGCATGTGTAATGTTCTTATCGTTAACGTTTGGTAAGTAGAACTTGAAAGCCGTCGAAGGCAAGATATGAACCATGTGTGACATTAGATCTAGAAGCAGAACAGTTTGTTTTGATTTCGAACATAAAATCGTTTAGCGAATAGGATGACATCTAACGGTGAGGTTTTACAAGTGTTATTCTTGAAATTGAGACAACAAAAAGTAATTAAGAAAAATGACGTTAATATTTTTAATATGTTGGGATTAAAGACTTGGTATCTTCAACTGGAGCGACTAATTTATATGTCGTTAAAGTTAACGATTTCTGACTTTCGCTTGATAAAACTTCAAAGAAATGCTTTACTTTCAAAATGGTTCAAGTTGAAATCTGTATACCTCGATATTAAATAGTCAGATCAGAAAATACCTAAAGTGACAACGTTTTGTCTTAAATTAACACCTATGTTCCCAATCCAGTCTATATTCACAGACTACTAAAGTACTTGACTGATTCAATTCCGAAAACATCGGAGAAGACATTATTTGGAAATGAAAACGAGTAATATTGAACTTTTATGCCTTATCGTTACCAGTGCTATGCTTGGGTAGAACATCAAACATTGTAATTTTCTCCTTAGTATAATTAAGCGTGACGGCATTGCTCCAAGAACCGAGTGTGTATATATGGAGGGGCGTCGCGGTTGAGGAGGTAACCATTAGCCCAGTGGAATGTTCAGTGAAGGTACCCGTGGATTTAAGATATTTTTCTTACTTTAAGCCACTGGGTTATATATCTAAAGAGGAGTTTGACACGCTAAGAGTACACATTACTTAAGATTTCCAAGGATATAGTGCATGTTTTAATCAGCAACTAGTTTTGATGTTGGCCTAAGATCACACGTTCCGTGATCATTTGGAGAAAGAAATGTCAGGTTGTTATTTTTTTTCTGTTTCATACATACCAAATAACATTTGGATATCACTTGAAAGAATAGGGAGAGTGTGTGTATAGGGTGGGGGTCGTTCATAAATAATAATATTAATGATCAAAACCAATACGATAAGGAATTTCTTAGGAATCTGTTTCGGAGGGTAATCGACATTATCATTTAGAAATGACGTTTCATGTTATAGGTGAGGTGAAATTGGGTTTAACGTCGCGTCCAAGATTATTGCACTTATAAAGCGACGTGCATGCACGGGTGTGTGTGTGGCTGCTTGTACTAGTCCGGACTGATGCCGATGTATAGTGCTAGCTCACTGAGATGCCATGCCGCAGTTTAACATGAATACCCCACTCAGACACAGTATACTGACTCCGAGCCGACCAAGTCCTTGTTGCCGAGCCCCTTAATGCCGAGCGCAAGACAGGGTAACAACAAGTATCATCTTTTAACGTCTTTTGGTATGACGCGGCCGGGGATCGAACCCCGGACCTTCCGCTCTCCGGGCGGACGCTCTACCACTAGACCACGGAGGCGGTCTTTCATGTTAATTGTACGGTATATCGATTTTCTTGTATGGATCCATTATGATCAAATAGAAAATTCCCTTTTACTGATATACCCACCTGAACTAGAATTATATGAGACCATTGAGACCGCCTCATTTATGTCATATTTAGACCAATGCATAAAGAATCAGAGTGACCAAAACTCTCTACAAGACTGTATTTCATCAGTGTTGGTTTCAACTTTCCCACTGTCGCCAGCTTTCACTTGATGTCGAGTAATATTGCAGCTGGTCCAGCCTTTGGTGACTAAATTTCAGAGCTTTTGAGATACAATCGAGCATGCTCTTTCTACGAAGATTTCAAAGAGTGTCTTACGACTCTTTTGTTTGATCAAGGTTACAACATTCGAAGCCCCAGTAAAGCTTTAAAAATGTTAACGGTAAACATGTGGAGGTCATTTCAAAATTTGACACAGTGACAAAAATGATGTCCTATGCAATTCCCTATTCTGACTTGTTCCATGTCTCCCCATTTTTTTTGGTGAACAACTGACTTGCCTTTGCATGTGTTTGTGACCGGTGCCACCGTTGGGGCAAGATACGCTTACCTTTTCGCGAACTCTTTTCGGTATCATCCCTAATCGATAGTAATTCATAAACACATGTTCATGATATAGTAAGAATCGTACAACGGACTTTGGTTTCGGCGGAAACTTCATAGGATTTGAGGAAGGGTTTTGTCGTTTTTATTAAAATTGTCAAGTTTGTTCCAAGTTAACTGGCTAAACTAGTGAGTGATTATTTGATTGGCATATCAGATACTATGACGTCATTACAGTCATTGTTAATGTATCATGTATGGTCAGTGAAACAAGTGGATTGAGCAAATGCCTAACAATATCCAGTCCGTAAGGACCGACTGTTTGACATTTTTAGGGTGGTTGGAATATTTTTTGAAGGTCTTTGAATGAGTGAGTGAGTTGGATTTTACGCCGTTTGGAACAGTATTGCACATATATCACGGCGTGTCAGCTTTATGTGGGAGGAAAGCCCGAATTGATTCAGGTCTCAGACGTTTACCACTTTGGTGAAACACACAAACCTAGAAACATAATCGGAGCTAACCGGGATTTAAACCCGCGATCATAGGTGTCTGGCGTGCCCAAGGGAAGCAACTCTGCACTGCGAAATTGCGGCCCCTTAGGCTATCGGGCAAATTCGTGCCCCAAGAAAATATTTGAAAATTAAATTGCCTCAGAAAAGTTTGACATGTTGGATGTCAGAGAAAAAGCGCCCAGCAAGTATCGGCATTACTCTGTCACCAAGAAAAACTTAAAAGTATTGATTTAATCGGGGCAACACGTTACGCCAGTGGTCTTTGAATGCGTGTTATTTTGGACGTTGCATTTCGTTTGACTTTTTCCATTATAATGAAACATATTGCACTTACTTTTCTTCTTTTTCTTCAATGAAGGTCGAGACACTTTAGATTTAGGTTTTGAAACAGGCGCAGCTGTTGTTGTATTATCACTGGCGGCGTCAGCTACTGTAGACTTAATAAAGTAACGTCTTTCACAACGGCTGCCCGCTGCGCTGCAACGTCTTTCTTCTTGGATATAACTCTTACTGCACACGCTGTGGACGGAACATTTGCGCGTGCGCCTTTGCTTGCACGTGCGTGAGCATGCGCCCCACTCGGTCCAAGAGTCGTAGAGCAGATCGTAGAGGAGTTGTTCAATGTAGCGATTCCGACGTCGAAAACCATAGACTTGATAAGACAACACGGAACAGCCTCCGCGACGTCGTTTACATATTCTCTTCTCCTTCAACCACGTCTTACCGCACTGTTGCTGCCGTCGGCATCGTCGCACCCGGGTTTGTTCACATTTTCTGTTGCATGTTGACCATCTGGACCAGGGGCTGTAATATTCGCACAGAATATTGTCTATACCCCCGACGCCCTTGTGAACGTATTTTGTGCTATTTAAAGCCGGCGTGGGAGTTGTGTTGTTTGGTTCAACGCCTTCTTCACTCACTGACACCTGTAATTATAGGAAAGATGTTAGGAATATTGTCTCTAAAGTTTATTTTCTTTGTCAGACCCTCCATTCTGTAAATAGAAAATATCTTAAATGCATCGCGGTGTCAAAATAGCGGCTAATTGGCAGGTTTCATGGATGATTGTTATGTGCGGTACCAACTTTCATACAAGTTCGTCTGGGTTTTGTTTTTCAGTTTCCGTATTTATAAATTCCTGCACGTCAGAGTTAGATATGAAACGAATAAACCGGTATTGTTCTCACGTTTTTGCCATTTTGAAATAAACAGTTTAGAATATCCAATTGATAAAGCATGAAAGTCGCACGTAGACCGTCCTGTATTTTAACAGTGCACTTCCGTTTCTTCTACAACATCCGCGTGCGAACCCAAAGCTTCTAGCAGGGAACCCACACCTTAGGTATCAACATTAATCATCTCTAGACCCACAAAAGTGCAATGTCGAGAGTTCACGAAGGACACATTTGCGGCATATCTATAATAATGTAGCAATACGGGTATAAAGTCAAATGGCAGCCTTTCTGCTGGCATAGTGTACTTCGTGACCTCTTGGATCTAGCGGTGCTCCCGCAGGGCTTGGTTCGAACTGAAATGTCCTAGGAGGTTGTATCTTCTCGCATCCCTAAAACAAACATACCCATCTGGTGCCACGAAAATAAGCTAACGATGCACAAACATATTTTGAATCAATTCATTTGTTTAAAATGTAAATCATTATGGCGTAACATTTTATGGTAATATTGTTTGAAGCAGATTCGCTCTGGTTTAAACCAATTTGATTTCCATTCATGTGAACATTTTTGTACTTGTGAGTGGCGGGTGCTACCGGTTGGGAAGGCCATGCAGAGAGTTAGCTCCCCTGCTCTGGTTTGGGAGCGAAAATGCTGTAAGGGAAAGACAAAACGTACCCAATAATTATCTCAGTAGGTACGTAGGTTTTAACTTAAATCCAAAAAATATTTGCTGGAACAGATTTCAAAAAGGCAAAATAGTGATGAATATTATACGAAAGTGGTGTTCGCTTTATAGGTGGTGAGGTGAGGTGAAATGGGGTTTAACGTCGCGTCCAAGATTATTGCACTTATATAGAGACGTGCATGCACGTGTGTGTGTGTGTGTGTGTGTGTGTGTGTGTGTGTGTGTGTGTGTGTGTGTGTGTGTGTGTGTGTGTGTGTGTGTGTGTGTGTGTGTGTGTCTGCTTGTACTAGTCCGGATGCCGATTTCTAGTGCTAGCCCACTGATACACCATGCCGCAGTTTAACATGAATACCCCCTCAGACACAGAACACTGGTTCCAGACCGACCAGTCCTTGTTTTAGCCCCTTAATGCTGAGCGCCAGACAGGGTAACAACAAGTACCATCTTTTGAACCCCGGACCTTCCGCTCTCCGGGCGGGCGCTCTACCACTCGAACACGGAGGCGGCCCTTTTCGCTTTGTGAGGTGAAGCAAGGTGAGCTTCGTGAATGTTTAACTAGAGCGTCAGGGTATCCTGTCTCCGTCAGAGTGGAGAAGCTGGTGATGTGACTTCACAGAGTGATGCAGGGCGCCGGGTGGCCAAGTGGTTAAAGCAGTGTCTCGTCATGCCGAAGACCAAGGATCGACTCCCAACATGGGTACAATGTGTTCTGCCAAAGCTGGTGTCTTCCATCGCGATTAGGCTTGACTATTGGTTACATCGGCGTACAACCTTCCCTCACTTACTCGGAGAGTGATACCTCTATGAAGAGTGTAACCTATGTTTAAAAACCGACGATCATTCATTCAATGGTAAAGTAGCGCTAATAACATCCTTTGAAATGCGCAAGGTAGCCTCCGCGGACGTTATTGAGACAGGGCCCGACACCAAGTTGTGTCAGCAAGCCGGTGTTTTTACAGATCAAGTTCTTTAACGTCAGTTTATAGTTCCACATCATTTAAACCTAATATGCCTGCGACCTGTCGACCTGTCGGCCTGTTAACCTATTGGACCGGATATTTAGTTTTGGTTGTGTCAGGTGTACGTGAATGATGGAGGCGGTCTTATGGGATTGTCACAATGACCCTATGAGTTGAGGTTAAATAGTATCATCAGCCTACAACAGATGTATTCAGCAAGGCTTGCAATTAAACCAAGTCTTCGAAATTTAAAGCGGTTATCTAAGGTTAATTTTCGGTGGATAACATGAACATTAACTACCGAGTGGAAAGCGATAAATCACACATGTCCTTTGCCTCGTATAAGTGGAACTTGGCTGCTGTTGTGACGATGTTACACGATATACGGGTGGCTCCGGTATGGAGCCTTTGGACAAAAGGACGTTTTCGTGATTTCGGCTCTGTTACTAAGGGGTCTGGCAGGGGTGAAGAGGGGTTAGGTCGGGTCATTTACCAGAGGGGTTAGTTGTAGGGGTTAATGTGTCATATACAATCATCACACGTTACAAGAAGCGTACACAATGGAAACAGTTGATTATAAGGTTAAGGGTTAAAGCAGAGATTCGTTGTCAAACACAAACTGTCTTCACTTACTACGGTGCTGACACGGAATGGCGAGGGTTAATCCCCAGGGCTATAGAATCATGTGGTGTACATGAGAACAACCGCTTTGGTGCGTCTTACTGTCTCAGAGGGACAATTAACATATCCATTCATTCCGGTTTCATATCCTTTTCATGCATGATGGAATGACATACTACTACTACTACTACTACTACTACTACTACTACTACTACTACTACTACTACTACTACTACTACTACCACCACCACCACCACCACCACCACCACCACCAATACTACTACTACTACTACTACTACTACTACTACTACTACTACTACTACTACTACTGCTACTGTGAGTGAGTGAGTGAATTGGGTTTAACGCCGCAGTTAACAGTATTCCAGTTATATCACGGCGTGTCAGCTGAATGTGGGAGGAAAATCCGAAGTGATGCAGGTCTCAGACGTTTACCACTTCGGTGAAACCCACGAGCACAGGTATGGTGCTGACAAACCTAGAAACATAATTGGGGTGAACCGGGATTCGAACCCACAATCATAGGTTTCTAGCGTGCCAAAGGGTCGCAACTCTGCACAGCGAATCGGGGCGCCTTAGACGCCTGGGCCACCCGTGCCCCCTACAACTACTACTTCTACTACTACTACTACTACTACTACTACTACTACTACTACTACTACTTCTACTACTACTACTACCACTACCAGTACTACTACTACCACTACCAGTACTACTACTACCACTACCAGTACTACTACTACTACTACTACTACTACTACTACTACTATCACTTCTACTACTACTACCACTGCTGCTACTGGAGTATTCAAGATTCAAGATTAATAAGGATTCTTCATATTTAAATAAAAAATAAGGTAGGCGACGGTAACGGCTGACACTTCACGGACATGGGCGTGACAACATAAGACGCTGCCCACTCGTCACTTATCCCGACATGGACACGTTGGCCAAGTCAAGTGTATACAATCAATATTAGGAGTGATTCATTCATGAGTGAAACCCTTAGACACCGTCAAGTTAATAAACAGAGAAGCCATGTAGACCCTAGCCTTTATAGGCCCTGTTCTGAGCAATGCTTTAGATTGAGTCCAGATTTATTTCGACAATAACACTTCCTGATTGTATAGGACTGGAGAAGAAGGCATTCCTAAAACTGGATGAAAGACGTCAGACATCAAGGAAGGAACTCATGCATTTACAGCCTCTGCGAAAAGTGCTGCTATATGATTCGTTTTCTTTCAATTGCCACATCTTATTTGTCATGAGTCACGGGGTATGATATTATACACAAAAAGGAGTGTCAATCGAAAGGTGAAAAGAATGTTGAGAAAATATACACAACATTCAAGCTATTAATACAACCTACTAGAGTATGCGTGACGTTATACGTCTAAACAGTTTACATGTTTAATACAACCTACTAGAGCATGCGTGTTGTTATACGTCTAAACAGTTTACATGTTTAATACTGCCTACTAGAGTATGCGTGACGTTATACGTCTAAACAGTTTACATGTTTAATACTGCCTACTAGAGCATGCGTGACGTTATACGTCTAAACAGTTTACATGTTAATACTGCCTACTAGAGTATGCGTGACGTTATACGTCTAAACAGTTTACATGTTAAATACTGCCTACTAGAGCATGCGTGACGTTACACGTCTAAACAGTTTACATGTTTAATACTGCCTACTAGAGTATGCGTGACGTTATACGTCTAAACAGGTTACATGTTAATACTGCCTACTAGAGTATGCATGACGTTATACGTCTTAACAGTTTACATGTTTAATACTGCCTACTAGAGCATGCGTGACGTTATACGTCTAAACAGTTTACATGTTTAATACTGCCTACTAGAGTATGCGTGACGTTACACGTCTAAACAGGTTACATGTTAATACTGCCTACTAGAGTATGCATGACGTTATACGTCTAAACAGTTTACATGTTTAATACTGCCTACTAGAGCATGCGTGACGTTATACGTCTAAACAGTTTACATGTTTAATACTTCCTACTAGAGTATGCGTGACGTTATGCGTCAACAAAGTTGAGATGTTAATACTGCCTACTAGAGTATGCGCGACGTTATGCGTCAACAAAGTTGATATGTAAATACTGCCTACTAGAGTATGCGTGACGTTATGCGTCAACACAGTTGATATGTTAATACTGCCTTCAAGAGTATGCATGACGTTATACGTCTAAACAGTTTACATGTTAATAGTGCCTTCAAGAGTAGCCATGACGTTATGCGTCAACACAGTTGAGATGTAAATACTGCCTACTAGAGTATGCGTGACGTTATGCGTCAACACAGTTGAGATGTAAATACTGCCTTCAAGAGTATCCATGACGTTATACGTCTAAACAGTTTACATGTTAATACTGCCTTCAAGAGTAGCCATGACGTTATGCGTCAACACAGTTGAGAAGTTAATACTGCCTACTAGAGTATGCGTGACGTTATGCGTCAACACAGTTGAGATGTTAATACTGCCTACTAGAGTATGCGTGACGTTATGCGTCAACACAGTTGAGATGTTAATACTGCCTACTAGAGTATGCGTGACGTTATGCGTCAACACAGTTGAGATGTTAATACTGCCTACTAGAGTATGCGTGACGTTATGCGTCAACACAGTTGAGATGTTAATACTGCCTACTAGAGTATGCGTGACGTTATGCGTCGACGTATTTACCATAGCACCAAACGTAAGCATGGAATTGTATCATTACAACCTGCGAGAGTGAAGCAACATATATCAAACAATATTGTCATGCTATAAAATCCCATGTTAATATTCCTGATTTCGTGCCACAACATATCCCACATACGTGTACCTGTAGCCATATCGTGACATAGCATATAATATTGTTTCATCATTCAGTTTCGTATCTGTGACATATAATGAATTCAGAACAACACCCTTGGAGTATATAGGCAGCATAGGCCCCAATCACCCCACGCTACTTGTAAGAATCGACTCCACATTGGGTAGTATTAATGTGTGACCTGATGTGTGTGTCATCGTACCCCGACCACTCGGATTGTGTCTTGTGCCGTCAACCACGACTTTGTCTGGTATATTTATAGGACGGACTGAACTGTTTCTGCCTGCGGCGTAAAACAACACCTACTCCCTTCTCAATTGTGACAAATACATTGATATGCCTGCTGTTGTGTAATGAAACTCAAACATGTGCTGTTGGGCTGAGAAATGCCACACATTCGTGCACTTACTGGTGTGATATATCACTCCTATCGACAGACAAGAATTCACACTCAAGAGTGCCTGTACCTATCAAAGAACAGTGTGCAAACAGTCACGTATTTATTACCTAACAAATCACAGGCATGCTGTGACATATCACAGATACATTCACGCTGCATGTACGGGACACGGACTACGCCAGTCAACCAGTATACCAATTGTAGCATCTATGACACAATCTTGGAACAGCGAAAGGCGATATACAGCAAAACCCAAAGGAACGTAAATATATATCATGTTCACGCTCTCCTTGACATATGCATCAACGAAGGGTGTCCCTTTCTCCGCTATCTACGTCTGCCTCCGACATCAGTATCAAAGATCACATACATTGCAGCTACTGGCGACAGGTTTTGCAATACCATATGCATTGGTAAACCGGCGCATGAATGAAATCACAAAATATGCACGGATAGGACAAGCCTGATTTGGATAGGCGAAAACAAATGCTCAGTGCATGATACAACACTCAAAACAATCCCAATTTACTTTCCCTACCCATACCTAACCCAAGCTTACCAACTTTGCTCTGCTATGAACATAACAATTGCAGTTATGACAGCGCTCTATGGAATTCTCCCTTGTCTACAAGTGTTGATGCAATGCAACAAAATAAACAGAGCAACAGAACGATATCATATTCAGATGGCCTCAAAAACCACGCTTACGTCATTGACGGTCGACTCTAATCAGGGGCACGGACATAATGCCATGTGTAGTCTATGAATTAGATATACCAGCTTCTATTTTACTTTATGATAAATGAGTGTGTTAGGCCCTCTGACACCTCTAGGAGGGAAGGTAATACTTGCGCAGACCAAAATAGTTTCGTGATAAAACAAAGGTAAAGAAACGTCCGCCTTGATGTACACCTTTCTGAAATGTGCTACAAGTACCAAGACAGTCCGCATATAGAACGTGTTTTGACATTTACACACTACGTCCCTGTTGAAATGTGATTGATCACTTTGGACATCAATAAAAACATATTGATAAAAAAGTCGAACAAAAAAATAATATAAGAAATTCCGTTTTTTTAACAAAACACTTTTGTAATGGAATTACACCGCTTTAAAAAATATCACGAGTTCACAATATGGAACAACATTGTTTCTTTCTATGTTTCAGACATAACACAAATGAGTCTATGTGGCATGTGGTATCTACATTACAAGTTTATAACCTATTTATGCGTCTTACAGAACTCTTCACGCACCCAACTTAGTCAGGCAGTTAGCAACATGTGTGTTTAGTGTTAGGCAGTGGGATTCTTCTACCACTCCGTTACATTCAAGCTTTACTTTGTACACGAACAATAAGGATAATTGCTGGTGGATATTATGCCTTCGGATTAGTCCCAATAGCTATACCATTCATGGGGCGATGTTTAAAAACCGGTTGACAATGTTATACTGCACATGACGATGTGTCGTTCTACATGTTTCTTTAACGGATTTCTATTATGTTAAAAAGCCCGTAGCCTCCACAGACGAGTGTCTCAGACGCACAGTCAAGTTAACTGGGTCAGTGGCACAACAAGTAGAGGTAGATGTGGGAATAACGTATGATATAACTTTAACATTCAACGCTGAGATAGCGTGACCACATAACGTGATATGATAAATGAAAACTTGTCAACAAGTCATATGATATGCCATAGGTACGAGGACGTACAGGGACACGCCGATAAGAAACATGCATTATTCATATCAATTTCAAATCTATCTACCAATCTAAAATCAATCTATCAAGGAGTCAATGAGCTTGAAAACGAATGTATTAAATACACATAGAAGGCATTTTATATATATTTTAATTAGTAAACAACTATCAAGTTGTTTTTTATTATATGAATTATATGTATTATGTCTGTAATAAACTTTTACCCTTCTTACCGTATGCAAGAAGACAGTCCGACGTTTCTTTGAGATCATGTACTGTGCCTTTTAGAGACGTAACAGTATTTACGGCATATTTACTGTTGCTACTGCTAGCAAACGACTTGCGGCGAGCTGGGACACTTTACTCATGGTATGTGTCTTTTACAGCTGTCCCCATGGGTAATTCGTACACTAGAAAGCGGACAAGCTTTTGTAGGTCATGTTTATCTGTCTAACCACAAGTTAAGTTGAAAAAATGTTTTGTTGAGAGTGTGTATATGTCTGGGAGTGTGTGTGGCTCTGCTTCTCACTACTTTACACACAGTGAGAATTTACAACTTCTCTGAGGTATAGTACAAATTCTTTTTCACCTGTTTCTGCTGCTGCAACTCCATCACTCTGGCTAAGGGGAAATTTCTCTAAGACAAACGTTGACGCTTCACGCGTTAATTTCCTAACGGATAATTGTTTGAAGAAGGGTTGTGGAAAAGAAATACAACAATCGCATTACAAAATCATAGTGACAGGTAAGAGACGTCAGTGACGTAATTCTTAATACACATTTCAGACACCCACTTGGAAAACATATGAAATGCACATCAATACTACGTGTGATAAATATTAATTGCCCCCAAATCGGTTTTGCAGTTTAGAGTAAAAATGTTAAACTACTCACAGTTGAAGGTCCGTCCGAAGCGACAATAATCGCCATGCTTAGTATTACCGCAAGATCAAGTAAATAGCACATAGTGTAGAACTGTTGACCAGTCGCCAGTGGATGTATATGTGTCTAGGGTTAGGGACTACAGCTTGGATGTAGAGCCCTGAGGTTTGCCTACAACACGTTCTGAAGAAGAGTCTAAGCACAGTGGGCTTTCATCACTGTGCTTCACTGGGCTCACCCTCCTCTTATAAGAGTGACAGTGACACAAGCAGCACATCGGGTCAGGGCAATAATTGACGCCCCACCGTTGAGAGGAGAGCGTTACGCCGGTTGCAATAACTTGTTGTCGGACGGCCAAACAGGTTCATTCACAACCTACAGTGCATCTAAGTGCGGCGGCTCGTAGAGGGTGTGAGGGGGCCGTGCTTATGCTGATATGAATGTAATAGTTGTACGCGAAGGCGGAAACAATTGTGACGTTTCGACGGAGGCTGAGTGTGTCACACGACGACTCATCAATACATTTGTCGGGTCACGTGGGATTAAGATGACATCGATAAAAAGGAGTGGGCACCTTATGCGCTGTTTGACGTTATGGAGGTGGGTCTTGGTAGAACAGTCTACCGCTGACTCCGCCCTATTGTCACTGTGGCTGTGGACATTCCTTGCCGTCAACTCATGTTTGTATCACCGCGCAGAGTGTAGAAACTGTTTCTCTCGGGGTAGTCATTGATCGGAAGAATTTCGCTTCGATCATAGCTCAGCAATAGAACCAGTCTCGCAGTTTCGTCCACACAGGAACACACCACATGCTTCTTTCCCTGTATGGATAGTCCTTTTCTTTTAATATATTAATATCTCTTTATCAGCGACATATGTATTTAATTAGTCTCGTGCATTGGAAGTTCAAATAATTAAAGAGAGACTTATATACGAGAACGCAAACATACTGTTTTGAAGATAACATGTTAAAATATGTTTGGGGGAACATGAGGAATATACGTTTAGAAATTATATTTCTTGAAGGTAATTTATTCTTGTATTCATCTTCCAATGTTTATGTTGTGGCGGTCATTGACTGCACCACGTCATCAGAATATAAATAGCTCAAATCTTGTGAAATTAAAATTGTTTATTTGTAGATTCAGATATCCACACATATTAGACATTTAAAAACAAAAACGATATTACGTTTCATTTTCTGCACATAAAAGAAAGTCTTAGGAGAGGAGAAATCCGCTCTCCGCTTTTGTGGTTTTGTGCATTCATTATTTTATATCAACTCAACCAACTGGGTTTAAATGTAAATGTCGTAAACATTTCGACGCCCTGGGCCCCTATCTCTATTTTATCTCATAAACATTTCATCTGACCGGATTAGCAAATGATAAATATTTTATCAAGTGTTTACTTTACTTTGTTGCACCGTTGTTATTTCAATAAACGGTGAAAAACCTCAATATAACCTTCTCCCAACTAGCATCAACAAAATGTTAAATGACGTCACCATGGCGTGACGAAACACTATGAAAAGGACAGTTCTTCTCTGTGAAAGAAATTAATAATTAAAGTAAATATCAAATCACTTTTATTACCTTGCAATGTCTCATTAACCGTGGAATAACACGGGCAATACGTATGCCTGTCCATGTGAGAATATATTTGTATCAGTCTTGCGCGGAACGAGGTGGGGTACCAATGAGTTATTGGATGGGCGTGGGTGTGTTTGTGGCATGGGTGTTGAAGGGATGGGGGCGGAGGGATGTGAGTGGATCGTTGAGAATTTGCTTCGTATAGCGAGAAACATCATGCTGAATCAGTTATGCATGGTGCTTATTAATATCGAATTCCTTTCTCTTTTGACGAGAAAAATACTCCACAAAATTACATTTCTTATAAATAACCTCCAAATCTTACTGCAGGAGCCAGAAAATAATACAATGTTGGTATTTGAACATGGATTTAGAGCAATTATGTACTGCATCTGTGTCATACTGCTGTACTGCATCTGTGTCATACTGTATCTGTGTTATACTGCTGTACTGCATCTGTGTCATACTGCTGTACTGCATTTGTGTCATACTGTATCTGTGTCAAACTGCTGTACTGTATCTGTTATACTGCTGTACTGCATCTGTGTCATACTGCATCTGTGTCATACTGCTGTACTGCATTTGTGTCATACTGCTGTACTGCATCTGTGTTATACTGCTGTACTGCATCTGTGTCAGACTGCATCTGTATCATACTGCTGTACTGCATTTGTGTCATACTGCTGTACTGCATCTGTGTCATACTGTTTCTGTGTCATACTGCTGAACTGTATCTGTGTCATACTGTATCTGTGTCATACTGCTGTACTGCATCTGTGTCATACTGTATCTGTGTCATACTGCTGTACTGCATCTGCGTCATACTGTATCTGTGTCATACTGCTGTACTGCATCTGTGTCATACTGCCGTACTGCATCTGTGTCATACTGTATCTGTGTCATACTGCTGTACTGTATCTGTGTTATACTGCTGTACTGCCTTTGTGTCATACTGCTGTACTGCATCTGTGTCATACTGTATCTGTGTCATACTGCTGAACTGTATCCGTGTCATACTGTATCTGTGTCATACTGCTGTACTGCATCTGTTTCATACTGCTGTACTGCATCTGTGTCATACTGCTGAACTGTGTCTGTGCCATACTGCTGAAATGTGTCTGTGTCATACTGTATCTGTGTCATACTGCTGTACTGCATCTGTTTCATACTGTATCTGTGTTATACTGCTGTACTGCATCTGTGTCATACTGCTGTACTGCATTTGTGTCATACTGTATCTGTGTCATACTGCTGTACTGTATCTGTGTTATACTGCTGTACTGCTTCTGTGTCATACTGCATCTGTGTCATACTGCTGTACTGCATTTGTGTCATACTGCTGTACTGCATCTGTGTTATACTGCTGTACTGCATCTGTGTCAGACTGCATCTGTATCATACTGCTGTACTGCATTTGTGTCATACTGCTGTACTGCATCTGTGTCATACTGTTTCTGTGTCATACTGCTGAACTGTATCTGTGTCATACTGTATCTGTGTCATACTGCTGTACTGCATCTGTGTCATACTGTATCTGTGTCATACTGCTGTACTGCATCTGTTTCATACTGTATCTGTGTCATACTGCTGTACTGCATCTGTGTCATACTGCCGTACTGCATCTGTGTCATACTGTATCTGTGTCATACTGCTGTACTGTATCTGTGTTATACTGCTGTACTGCATTTGTGTCATACTGCTGTACTGCATCTGTGTCATACTGTATCTGTGTCATACTGCTGAACTGTATCCGTGTCATACTGTATCTGTGTCATACTGCTGTACTGCATCTGTTTCATACTGCTGTACTGCATCAGTGTCATACTGCTGAACTGTGTCTGTGCCATACTGCTGAAATGTGTCTGTGTCATACTGTATCTGTGTCATACTGCTGTTCTGTATCTGTGTCATACTGAATCTGTGTCATACTGCAGTACTGCATCTGTTTCATACTGTATCTGTGTCATATTGCTGTACTGTATCTGAGTCATACTGCTGTACTTCATCTGCGTCATACTGCTGTACTGCATCTGTGTCATACTGTATCTGGGTCATACTGCCGTACTGCATCTGTTTCATACTGTATCTGTGCCATACTGCTGTACTGCATCTGTGTCATACTGTATCTGTGTCATTCTGCTGTACTGCATCTGTGTCATACTGTATCTGGGTCATACTGCTGTACTGCATCTGTGTCATACTGTATCTGTGTCATACTGCTGTACTGCATCTGTGTCATACTGTATCTGTGTCATTCTGCTGTACTGCATCTGTTTCATACTGTATCTGTGCCATATTGCTGTACTGTATCTGTGTCATACTGCTGTACTGCATCTGTGTCATACTGCTGTACTGTATCTGTGTCATACTGCTGTACTGCATCTGTGTCAGACTGCTGTACTGTATCTGTGTCATACTGCTGTACTGTATCTGTGTCACACTGCTGTACTGTATCTGTGTCATACTGCTGTACTGCATCTGTGTCACACTGCTGTACTGTATCTGTGTAATACTGCTGTACTGTATCTGTGTCATACTGCTGTACTGTATCTGTGTCATACTGCTGTACTGCATCTGTGTCACACTGCTGTACTGTATCTGTGTCACACTGCTGTACTGTATCTGTGTCATACTGCTGTACTGTATCTGTGTAATACTGCTGTACTGTATCTGTGTCATATTGCTGTACTGTATCTGTGTCATACTGCTGTACTGCATCTGTGTCACACTGCTGTACTGTATCTGTGTCATACTGCTGTACTGTATCTGTGTCATACTGCTGTACTGTACCTGTGTCACACTGCTGTACTGTATCTGTGTCATATTGCTGTACTGTATCTGTGTCATACTGCTGTACTGTATCTGTGTCATACTGCTGTACTGTATCTGTGCCATACTGCTGTACTGTATCTGTGTCATACTGCTGTACTGTATCTGTGTCATATTGCTGTACTGTATCTGTGTCATACTGCTGTACTGTATCTGTGTCATACTGCTGTACTGCATCTGTGTCATACTGCTGTACTGTATCATTGTCATATTGCTGTACTGTATCTGTGTCATACTGCTGTACTGCATCTGTGTCATACTGCTGTACTGTATCTGTGTCATACTGCTGTACTGCATCTGTGTCATACTGCTGTACTGCATCTGTGTCATATTGCTGTACTGTATCTGTGTCACACTGCTGTACTGTATCTGTGTAATACTGCTGTACTGTATCTGTGTCATACTGCTGTACTGCATCTGTGTCATACTGCTGTACTGCATCTGTGTCATATTGCTGTACTGTATCTGTGTCACACTGCTGTACTGTATCTGTGTAATACTGCTGTACTGTATCTGTGTTATACTGCTGTACTGCATCTCTCACACTGCTGTACTGCATCTCTCATACTGCATCTGTGTCACACTGCTGTACTGCATCTGTGTCATACTGCTGTACTATATCTGTGTTATACTGCTGTACTGCATCTCTCACACTGCTGTACTGAATCTCTCATACTGCATCTGTGTCACACTGCTGTACTGCCTCTCTCATACTGTATCTGTGTCATACTGCTGTACTGCATCTGTTTCATACTGTATCTGTGTCATACTGCTGTACTGCATCTGTTTCATACTGTATCTGTGTCATACTGCTGTACTGCCTCTCTCATACTGCATCTGTGTCATACTGCTGTTCTGTATCTGTGTCATACTGCTGTTCTGTATCTGTGTCATACTGCTGTTCTGTATCTGTGTCATATTGCTGTTCTGTATCTGTGTCATACTGCTGTTCTGTATCTGTGTCATATTGCTGTTCTGTATCTGTGTCATACTGCTGTTCTGTATCTGTGTCATATTGCTGTTCTGTATCTGTGTCATATTGCTGTTCTGTATCTGTGTCATACTGCTGTTCTGTATCTGTGTCATATTGCTGTTCTGTATCTGTGTCATACTGCTGTTCTGTATCTGTGTCATACTGCTGTACTGCATCTGTGTCATATTGCTGTACTGCATCTGTGTCATACTGCTATACTGTATCTGTGTCATACTGCTGTTCTGTATCT